CCCTTTACTTTTTAATAGTACCTATAGGTTCAGTTTTAGCCACCAGAGAATATTCTCTCCAGGGTCAATTTCTCTTTGCCTTATCTACTCTGTAAGATGGTTTTCAGGTTTTCGTGTATATTTTGAAATGTAAAACACATGTCCAACAATGGAGAAAAGCTTCAAAATCACCAATGGAATGAATTGATTCTTTCAGTTATGCTTTGCCTGAACTTTTCAGGATGTTTAAAAAAAAAAAAAAAAAAAGTGGTTTTTTTTTTCTTCCCAACAAATTCTTAACATTTATGTCTTCAAGAAAATTACATGGAAGTCTGACCCCCTAGGCTTGTCTCTACTTCTATTTAATTATAGGCAAAGAGTTACATGAGAGAAGTCCACCATCTCTTGCTTACTTGGAATACCTGAGGTCCAAAAACAAATTACAAGTAAGAAGAAGATAGTATGCCTTGCACTTATTTGGGTTCACAGAGCCCTTAATCTCATTTCATCCCTCTCTCTTTTTCAAAAGCTGTTTCTTAACTGTATTGCAACATTCCAGCTACACAGTATATTCTGTTACTCTATAAATTTAAACCTATACCAGAGTGAAGAGTTTGGTGAAGAGTAATGAAAATAGAAAACTCCTGTTGAGGTCAAAATCTGAGTAGCAGCTGGGGGAAGACCCATATTTACTAACAATTGTTTCCTTATTGCAGAAAGGAGCAATTTTCATATTTGTTCTGAAGAAGATGCTTAAGCTTCTCAAGGCACTTGGCAAATGTTACTTGGAACCAAATGTCTGCCTCAGAGGTGCCCAGAGGCCAGCCTCCCTCCCTCGAAGGCTCTCAGATCAAGGAAACACATGACCCGTGGTTCTCACTCAACGGGAAAACAGGCTCCAAAGTTCATCTGGAAAATAGGCTTTAACTGTTGTTTACATTTGTGATGAACTTCTTCTTTGTTTTTTTTGTTTTTGGGGTTTTGTTTTTGGAAATAATTTCTGGAATATCATTTGAGAAAACTGTTTGCAAGTGGTCTGAAGGCTTTCTGGTTATGGTGTTTAAGAGTGGTATTCCTCTACGTATCTGTAAAATAATGTTGCTGACAAAATAGATCAAGAGACATGAAAGTAGGGAACAAACTGACTAACCTCAGAAGGAAGGGCAATAGGCGATGGGGAAAGAAAAACCAAAGAACTTATATGCACATGTGCGTAACCAGTGGACACAGACAATAGTGTCAGGTGAAGGAGAGGGAGTGGTGAGGAGGGGTTGTGAGAGAGATGCACTGACTGGTTGCCTCCCACACTACCGACCGGGGCCGGGGGTCGAACTTGCAACGCAGGTACATGCCTATGACTGGGAATCGAACCCAAGACACTTTGGTTTGAGGGCTGATGCTCTAACTGCTGAGCCAAACCAGCCAGGGCTAAAGTGTTTTTGTTTTTGTTTTTATCAGACTCTCCGTCATGCCTTACACTCTGTACTGTGCCAGACCCTACCATTATCCTGGAGTATTCCAGTGTCCATGGGGCTGACCCTTCCCTCACTTTTAAGTCCCAAATATTTAATTTAACATCCAAGCCTCCAATTCAATCTCCTATTTTTATAATTTTCTCACGTACTTGATATGAACAGTTTTTCTGAGTTAATTAACCCCTCCACTCTCAAGACCATCTGGAATCCTTGATGTGTTGGTTGAAATACTCCTTTATGATGATGATGATGATTAATCTTCACTTGAGGATATTTTTCCATTGATTTTCAGATAGAGTGGGAGGGAGGGAGAGAGGAAGAGAGAGAGACAAACATCGATATGAGAGGGACACATTGATTGGTTGCCTCCTGCATGACCCCAACCAGAGCCGGGGATCAAACTGCAACCGAGATGCATGCCCTTGACCGGAATCAAACCCATGACTCTTTGGTCTGATGGCCGATGCTCCAACCGCTGAGCCAAACCGGCTAGGGCAAAACACTCTTTTGTAAAAAACTCCCTTTCTTCACCTCCCTTCACCTCCATCCTTCTAAGTCCCTGCCAAGAAATCTCCATCTATATTTAGGCTTCTCTGCCCCTTAGCTTGAGGGCACTGTGACAGATTGATGGAAGTGCTTACTGGGCGCCAGTTCCCCAGTCCTCTGGCGCTTCTGAATTTCTCCAAACCTTCAGTGCCCTCCTCCTATCCAGCCTCTCTAGCAGTACAGTTAGCAGGTGACTTAGAGCAAGAGAATCTTGGAATGATCCATTCCACCCCATCCCAACTCCTACACACAACTAATCATCTCTTCCTCATCTTCAGCTGTTTCCCAACACTTTCAGGGGAAGAAGAATTTTCCCTTTAGTTACAAATTCAACTTTGCTACATAAAGTATCCCTTCTGGGGGAGGAGAAGTTTTCCTTCGCTCCCAAATTTAAACTTGCTACATAAAGTATCCCCTCTGTTTCTTGCATCCTCAACCTGTTCTTCTGTACTAGTTCCTTCCTTGGATCCTATAAACTTACTTAAATTTCCTCCATCTTCCAAACAAACACCAAATAACTTGACTCTGCCTCTTCTTCCAAGAATGGGCCCCTTTCCTTTCCATTTGAAAAATGTATGTACACACACACACACACACACACACATATAAATGTATAAATATATATATTTTTAGAGAGAGAGAGAGAGAGAGGAAGGAGGTGGGGGAGAAACGTTGATTTGTTCCATTTATTTATACATTCATCAGTTGCCTCTTGTGTGTACCCTGACCAGGGGTCAAACCACAATCGTGGAGTACTGGGACCAACTCTAACCTGATGAGCTGCACAGCCAGGGCTTCCCTTTCATTTTTAGCCAAGCTGTACTTGCTATTCTTTTTTTTTTTTTTTTTTAATCCTCACCCGAGGGCATTTTTCCATAGAGTGGGAGAGAGAGAGAGAGAGAGAAACATCGATGTGAAGGGACACATCGAGTGGCCGCCACCCGCACGACCAACCAGGGCCGGGGACAAACTGCAACCGAGGTACGTGCCCTTAGCGGGAACCGAACCCGGGTCTCTCTGGACCACAGGCCGACGCCCTAACCGCTGAGCCAAACCGGCCAGGGCTGTACTTGCTATTCTTACTTTCTTATTTCTCTTTTAAACTTATTACAATCATAAAATGTTTTTTTTTGTTTTCATATTTAAGAATACTAAATGCCCATCATAAGAATGTCAGATAACATGTAAAAACATGAAGAAAAAATTAAATTTCTAGTAATGTCACCACCTACTTACTGTTACATTTCCTATTTATTTATGCATTTGTTTATTTCTCCATTTCACTGCATATTGCCAAAATTAAAGGTACTCATTAAAAATCCATATCATTATATACCTAAAAAAAATTAGCGCCATGGCCTGTTTGGCTCAGTGGTTAGAGCATCGGCCCGCGGACTAGAGTCCCGGGTTCAGTTCCCGCTAAGGGCATGTACCTCGGTTACAGTTTGTCCCCGCCCCGGTTGGGGTCATGTGGGTGGCAACCAGTCAATGTGTCTCTCTCACATCGATGTTTCTCTCTCTCTCTCGCTTTCTCCCTCTCTCCCTACCGCACTATCTGAAGATATATGCAAAAATGTCCTCAGGTGAGGATAAAAAAAAAATAAAAGAAATTAGCAATACTTCCTTAATATCATCAAATCTCTACCACTGGTAATACTTAGATGACTGTTCTTGTACATTATTTTTCTGTTTCTAGATATACAAGGTAAGTATACATTCACTTCTTATTAAAATATACAGTCTCATTGTATATGCTATTTGTAACCTGCCTTTTGCCCTTACTAAGATCCTGTATCTTTCTAAATTACGTGTAACTTTACATTGTTTTTAAAAAACTGTTCAGAAGTCTGGACTCTATCTTTGTTCGTCCAGTAGATTTTTCTAGGTTCTTAGGACATATCGAGCACTACCGTTTCATCTTCTGTGGGGCATCCTATATCTGCGATGTGAGGGTATCTTTTCGCATTCCACAGAAATCATTGCTCCTGTGACTACAAAGAAAACCTGTATAAAAGAAGATGTGTTTGTCTTGGGGGAGGGGAGCAGAAAATTAGGGTTCTGTATTTAGTTAGTCTCAAATGAAGAATGGTAATGGAGCCCTGGCAGATGTGGTTTAGCTGACTGAGTGCGGTCCCAAGTACCGAAAGGTCACTGGCTTGATTCCCGGTCAGGGCACATGCTTGGGTTTTGGGCTCGATCCCCAATAGTGGGCATGCAGGAGGCAGCCAATCGATATTTCTCTCTCTCATCACTGTTTCTCTCTCTCTCTCCCTTCCTCACTCTCTAAAATCAATAAAAACATTTTTTTAAAAAAGACTGATAATAGGATATTGTGTGATTTATTAGAACTCTCAAAATATGTATTGAGCCATTAGCCTGGAGCCTGAGATAAAATCAGAAATTCTAGAACACTTGCAAAACCAACTTGGGGCTGAAAGCAAACTTCATGAGGGCATACTGTTCATGTGCCATGATTAGGAAAAGTTGTTTTCATTAGAACGTGGTTGTCTCCTGAGGGAGCACTTCTTACAGTCACAGGAGTGTGGGGCTCAGACATGCAGAAGCAGGTCCTAGACCACATGGACACCTCATGGTCAGCACCTCACTTTTTTGCCACCTCAGGATCCATCTTTCTACATAGAAATGTCCTCAGTTAACCAACCCTGATATGTAAGGAGCGAATAATGACTCATGCCTGAAAAGTCACTCTACAGTTTCTGTCCTTAGGGGGAAATCACTTCTGCTCAAAATCTTCCCTGCACAAGATGAACGTGCTAGGTGCATCCCCGTGCCGCGTGTGTTCCCTTGACTGCGGAATGGAAAGGTGGCTCCTTACAGACGGGGTTCATTTTGCTGTCGGAAATGCTGTTGATAAAAGAGAACGTGTCTGAATTCTAACGGCAATCGTACTCAGTTGTGAAAAAAAATTGCCTCAAGTTCGAGGCTAAATAACAACTTTTAATGTGATTGTACATGATATCTCTTGCTTTCTCTTTACAGCCTGCTGCCCCCCCAGAGGACACCCCCGAGCTGAGCGCCTTTCTGAGAAACTCAACCATCCCTCACCTTGTCAGAAAGAGAGACGTGCCGGCACTGGAGCTCCGCAGGCAGAGCCCGGCCAAAACCCTGGTGAGTCCCCTCAGTGTGCAGAGCCGAGGCCGGTGCCTGCCCAGAGCTCCCACAGATGGCGTTCACGTCCACTGTGTCGTTCATTCTCCAGGCTCAGATCTGCCTGACACTCACTGTCAGCGCATACTGCGGGAAATGAGTGTCCTTTCTGTGAGGACTAATGAGTATTTGCAAAGTAACATTTTTATTCTTCTAAACTGGATGGAGGCCACATTGGAGAAGTGGTGAGAACATAAAGTACAGCAGTCAATGCAAGAATGTAGAGATTCAGTAGTGAGCCTGTCCCCAGACACTGTGCTGGTGAGTTTGAGGGAGTCTAGAGACGCGCTGCCTTTCAGTGGGTCCCTGGGGTGAGTGCAGCCCCCACCCCTGAATCTCAGCAGCCTCTGCTCATCTGGAAAGGCCAAGACTGGTGTGTTCAGGTCTCCTGGGCCAAAAAATCTGCGGAGTCTTAGCACTGGGGTCTGTGGTTGATCTCGCCTGAGCTGAGTCAGCACTTTATAGAACTGTGGTGGACAGCATTCCTGAATCAGCACTTTCTATTCAATTCTCCCACTTGTTCCAACGTGAATGCCACTGAACTATATACACTTAAAAGGGGTTAGAAAGGGTGTTTTTAAATCTGTGTCTTGGCCCTGGCTGGTTTGGCTCAGCAGTTAGAGCATCGGCCCACGGAACAAAGAGTCACAGGTTCAATTCTGGTCAAGGGCATGTACCCCGGTTGCAGTTCAATCCCTGGCCCTGGTTGGGGTCGTGCTGGAGGCAACTGGTCAATGTGTCTCTCCCATATCAATCTTTCTCTCTCTCCCTCGATTTCTCCCTCTCACTCTATCTAGAAATCAATGGAAGAATGTCCCTGGGTGAAGATTAAAAATATATATAAATGCATGTCTTGAATATGCTCTGACATTCACTTGACAGTATAAAACATAGAAGTGGACAGAAAAATACAATGAGCAAGTCTAACTGAATCAGTTAAATTTCAGTCAAGAGAGAAATGTTTATTATCATAGAAGAACCTGAAATTATGTAGCAAAAGCTATGGCAGTTGGCAGAGTATATGATTCAAGTCTCTGTAAATTTTTGTGACACTAATATTTTGAAAAATGCAAGGGTAGTAATCGATATGCTATTGAATTTAGAATAAGTTAATAAAATTCTGTATAGTATCATTTTTTAAAAGCTTCTAGAAGGAATAGAACAGAAAACAATGATTTAATTCCTGGGACTGTAATGTGTAGCATGGTGACTATAGTTAATAATACCATATGGTGTATTTGAAAGTTGTTAAACAAGTAAATCTTAAAAGTTCTCATCACAAGAAAAAATAATGTGTAATTTTGTATGGAAACAGATGTTAACTAGACTTATTGTGGTTATTTTACTATATATATATACAAATATCAAATCATTACATTGTACATCTGAAACTAATATGTTTTATATCAGTTATACCTCATTAAATTATTTTAAGTTAAAAAAAAAATGACACCAAAAAAAAAAAAAGAAAAGAAAAGAAAATGATTGAAATCTATAGAATTCTAATGTGCAGTAACAATATGAAAGCCCTCTGGAGAACCAATGTCCAAACCTCTGAGGACCAACAATTTGGAAAATCAAGATTCAACTACATTTTTTAGTTTACTATTCAGCATATGTCTCATGAGTATATAAAGGCAGTGGAGATCAATAACCAATATTCTTTTGAAAATTATATGCTCTTGTGTTACGGGATCAGATTTCTTTTCTTCTTTCTTTCTCATTAAAGATTTCTAATGCAAGATGATTTCTAACCTCTGAATATCATAGAAACGTATTACTTGCAGATGAGGGCAAGGCAATCCTTGATTTCTACGTCTGATTTTGTTAAACTGTTTTATTCCCTTGCTCTCTTATTGCTTCAAAAATTGCAAATCATACGCCTCCCCATGTCCTCAAGTCAAAATAATTCTGGATAGAAAGTGATTATGCAAAGTTTATTCTGAAATCAAAAGCTAAATAAGACCTCCTACAGTTTTTGTTTAGTTAAAAACAACTTACTGAATCACATTTCTGATTAGGAATTTGAAAGTGCAAAATGCCAACATCCTGTGCTGGGATCATAATTTCCCATTTGCATAGGGAAAGTCTGTATCTGTGACCCTGAGATATAATTTCTCCTCTGCTTAGAATGTCCTCGCCTTGGTCATCTCGGCCCTGCTGCTTTGCAGCTATCACCCCATCTCCTCCTCCTTCTCCTCCTCCAACTGCTCAGTTTACAGAAACTTTATCTTTCCTAATCTGTTCAGCACTTGATACTCTTTTTTTAAAAAAGATTTTGTGTTATTTATTTTTAAAGGGAGAGGGAAAGAGAGAAACATCCATGTAAGAGCAGAACACCAGTTGTCTGCCTCCTCCCTGGTAACCTGCAACCTGGGATGTGCCCTGACCAGGAATCGAACTGGCAACCCTTCCATGCACAGGACAACACCCAACCAACTGAGCCACACCAGCCAGGGCAGCACTTGATACTCCTGACCACTTTCTAAAACCATCACCTCCCCGGGCTTCCCCCAAAACATTCTCTTGCCCTCACCGGGTGACTTGGTTGGAGTATAGTCTGGTACACCAAAAGGTTGCAGGTTTGATTCCTGCTCAGGGCACATACTTAGGTTGCAGGTTCAGTCCCTGGTTGGGGCACATATGGGAGACAACTGATGGGTGTTTCTCTCTCACATCAACATTTCTCTCTCTCCCTCTCTGTCTCTCTCTCTCTCTCTCTTCCTCTCTTTAAATCAATAAACATATCCTCGAGTGACGATTAAAAACAAACAAGCAAACTAAAACATTCTTTCCTGATTCTCTTCCTACCTTTTGACTTGCCCCTTTGAATTTTTCATGGACTTCTCTTCTCCTCATCCTTAAATGCTCCTAGACTTCAGGAATCCATCCTCAGCCCCTCCGCTCCTCTCCCAGTGACTCTGCATTTGCAGGGAAATTTCTTGCATAATTATAACTCCCGACATTAGTCATTCCTAGGTGCCTCCTACCATCATATCCTCCCTTGCTGCTTTTGAGACATGAAGGGCTCACTGTGTATGTTCATCTGGATGTCTCATAGACGTGCCAGTCCCCACATGTCCAAAACTCAGTCCATGACCCCCACATGTGCTCCTTTCTAAAAAATCCCAGTCTCGCTCTGGCCGGTTTTGCTCAGTGGTTCGAGCATCCGCCCTCGGACCAAAGAGTTGCAGGTTCAATTCTGGTCAAGGGCATGTACCTCAGTTATGGTTTGGTCCCCAGTTCTGGTTGGGGTTGTGCGGGAGGTAACCAATTGATGTGTCTCTCTCACATTAATGTTTCTCTCTCTCACGCCCTCCCACTCTATCTGAAGATAAATGGAAAAATATACTCTGGTGAGGATTAAAAAAAAAAATCCCAGTCTCAAGTAATACCAACACCTATCCACCCAGTTCCCCAAGCCAAGACTCCACCTCTCCCTCTCCTTCATCCCAGTCTTTGATTAGTCACCACGTATCTATTCTACTTCCAAAACTTCTCTGAAATGCATCTTCCTCTTTCCATCCCCCCTGCCTCAGTTCAAGGCCTGAGCATTTCTCACTTGGACTCTTGTAAGCACTGCCCATCCCCCTCACCTCCCACTCCTCTCTCTAATTCTTTCCTCACCTACTGCCTGTCCCCTAAAATACAAACATGGTTGTAGTCTTTGCTCAAAAACCTTCACAGGCTCCCCTGTACTGTCCAAGTAATGTCCACAGTCCTTAGCACAAGTGGGAAGATTCTCTACCACTTGGACTTTCTCTCTTCCCTGGCTCATTGCCATCTGTCCAGACCACCCCCAAATACCCTCTTCTCCTCTTTCCTGAACACTCACTGAGCTTACAAAAGAGAACTGTGTCCCTGTCATCCTGCACTTGTAGGTAACTCTTTCTCACCTTTCAAGAGTAACTCTAAACATCACCTTCTCCAAAACCCTTCTGTAGAGCTAGCTCACTGGGATCACCATTTCCAGGGAGTTTACGAGAATTACCTCCTCCTGGCTCCCCAGCTCCTTTGCCCTCAGCGGGTGGGGTTGGCCATACACAGCATGGAGCACAGGCCAGCCGCAGGGTCCTCACAGGTGCCATAAACTGCAGATTTTGAGCATTCTTGCTCCTCTTGGAGACACAAGATCCAGACACCTAAGTGCCCAACTCCAATAGAACAAGAGCAGCCCAGCCACCTGTGTTTGGAAACATTATGAAGAAATCTAACCCTATTGGAGTTTCTCAGATACACGTTACTTATTGCTTGGTTTTTAGAGAATTCTGAGGGTCTCAAAGAAGGTTTTCATAGTAATGTGTTTCTCAGGCTATTCTGTATTTTATCGATTTCATTAATGTGAAATGCCTTAGTCAACTCCTTCACACAATATCTAATGAACTCATGTTTGCTGATCATCTGTAGACCAGTGCCCAGTGCTTGAGACATAAAAAATAAAGCATAGCCCACATACTAAACTCAAATCAATGAGTATAATTCAAGAGGTATCATCCTATACATGGGAACATGGAAAATGGATGTGAGGTGTCTATTTCCTTAATGGGATCTGATCAGAAAACGTGATTTGATGGGTAGAATGTTATCATAATGAATACTTTCAAGAAATATGCATTTTATATATTAAAGGTTACCCATTAGTAGTTGGACAACCCTAAAAACTAGTTTAAAAACACCTTAATGAGTGGAACTCTCAGAAGAGTCATATCTTGCTTTATGACCGGGAAGTAATTTAGACAGAAAGCAGGATGTTATAGAACAAATGCTTGCCAGTGGGTTAATAACTTTGGGTCTTTGAGATAATATGGCCCTGGCCGGTTTGGCTCAGTGGTTGGAGCATCGGCCTGCGGTACAGTGAGATAATATGGACTCAGGGACCTTCCTCCAAAGCCATTTTAGGACTTTGCTTAGTCCAGGGTCAGCTGCTGTGAGTGTCTATAAGAAGTGTCTTCCTGAGTTCTGAGAAAATGAAACAGCCCACCTAACTACGTAATCACTGAGGTTGATGCATCATTGCTACCAAACTGGTTTTTCTTGGTTGTTTTAATGTATTTGTTCTTTATTTAAATTAATCATCTATGGACTAGGTGATGACTTCTGAGGAAATAAGATATAACTAAATTTGACTTCAGTGTTGATTCTCTACCACAATTTGAAGATGCTGATTTGTCAAAGTTGTTGTTTTTTGCAGAACTGTACAAATATCGAGTGCTTACAAATCTCCTGTGCGGTGGGACGACTAGAAGGAGGAGAAAGCGCAGTCCTGAAAGTCAGATCGCGGTTATGGGCCAAGACTTTCCTCCAGGTAATACAGACCCTGAAGCACATGCACACCGCTCACGGGCACCTCTTCCCAAAAGCTCAGCAGGAAGGTTATTGCTTGTAATGATTTTTAAATTTTTAAACATTTTCTACTTTTACAGTTTTTAGATTTATTTTTAATATGTTTTTATTGATTTTTTTAGAGAGAGAGGAAGGGAGAGAGAGAGAGAAACATCTTTGTGAGAGAAACATCAATCAGCTGCCTCCTGCACATCCCCTAGTGGGGTTGGAGCCTGCAACCTGGGCATGTACCTCAACCCTGGAATCGAACCGGGACCTCTCAGTCCCTGGGATGATGCTCAATCCACTGAGCCACACCAGCCAGGCTAATTTTTAATTTCAAAATATTTTATATTTAAAAGTTGTTTTTAATTTTTAATTTAAAATTTTTTTCATTTGAGCATTTTATTTATTTTACTTTTTTGTTGAATTTATTGGAGTGACATTGGTTAATAAAATTATGTAGGTTTCAGGTGTACAGTTCTACAATACATCATCTGTATATTGTATTGCAGACCCTAAATCAAGTCTGCGTCCATCACCATTTATGCCCCCCATACCCTCTTCAACCTCCCCCGCCCCATCCCCCCTGGTAATCACCATACTGTTGTCTGTGTCTATGAGATATTTATTTTGTCCTCACCCGAGGATAGGATATGTTTACTGATTTTAGAAAGAGAGCCAGAAAAACATATCAATTGGTTGCCTCCAAATGTATTTCAACCTGGAATTGAACTCTCAACCTAGGTATGTGCCTTGACTGGAAATTGAACCTGCAACCTGTTTGGTGTACGGGACAATGCTTCAGTCAACCGAGCTACACAGCCAGGGTTGTGTCCATGAGATTTTCCCCTTGATCCCTTCGCCTTTTCACCCAGCCCCGAAACGCCCTGTCCTCTGACAGCTGTCAGCCTGCTCTCTGTCTATGCGTCTGTTTCTGTTTTGTTTGTTTACTTTGTTTATTAGATTCCACACATAAGTGAAATCATGTGGTGTTTGTCTTTCTCTGACTGGCTTATTTCACTTAGCATAATAATCTCCAGGTCCATCCATGCTGTTACAGAGAGTGAGATTTTTTTTTCGACAAAGTAGTGTTCCATTGTGTAAGTGTACCACAGCTTTTTTATCCACTCCTCTACTGATGGGCACTTGGGCTGCTTCCAGATCTTGGCTATTGTAAACAAGGCTGCTATGAACCTAGGGGTGCATATATTCTTTTGAATTCGTTTTGGATTTCTTCAAATATATTCCCAGATGTTGTGGGGTCATAAGGCAGTTCCATTTTTAATGTTTTGAGGTAACTCCATACTGTTTTCCACAGTGGCTGCACCAATGTGCATTCCCACCAACAGTGCACACGGGTCCCCTTTTCTCCACGTCCTCGCCAGCACTTGTTTGATTTATTTATGATAGCCATTCTGACAGGTGTGCGGCCATTACCTTTTTTTAAAGAAATTTTCTTTCTTTTTTTTTTATTTATCCTCACCAGAGACATTTTTGCATTTATCTTCAGATAGAGCGAGAGGGAGAGAGAGGAAGAGAGAGAAACATTGATGTGAGAGAGACACATCGAGGGGCTGCCACCCACATGACCCCAACTGGGGGCCGGAAACAAACTGCAACCGAGGTACGTGCCCTTAGCGGGAGTCAAACCCCAGACTCTACAGTCTGCAGGCTGATGCTCCAACCGCTGAGCTAAACCGGCCAGGGCATTTTAAAATATTTTTGACATATAACATATGTAAGTTTAAAGTGTACCATGTGATGATTTGATACACTTATATATTGCAAAATGTTTACCACCAGAAGGGCAGCCAACACCTCCATCCCCTTACATATTATATTTTGTGTGTGTGTGTAGGGGGTGATAACTTTGAAGATCTACTTTATTAACAACTTTAAATTACATAATACAGCATTGTTAACCATAATTACCATGCTGTAAATTAGATCCCCAGAATTTGCTCATCTTACAGCTGGAACTTTGAACCATTTTATTTCCCCATTTTCTCCACCCCGAGCCCTTGGCAACCACCGTTCTACTCTCTATTTCTATGAGTTCAGCTTTTTTAGCTTCCACGTATAAGTGAAATCATAAAGTATTTGTCTTTATCTGTTTGACTTATTTCAGTTAATGTAACGTGCTCAAGGTCCATCCATATTGTCACAGAAGGCTGGATTTTCTTCTGTTTTTAATCCTCACCTGAGGATACTTTTCCATTGAGTTTTAGTTAGAGTAAGAGGTAAGAAGGGAGAGAGAGAAAGAGAGAGAGAGATCAATGGTTGCCACCTGCACGTTTAGGGCCAGGGATCGAACCTGCAACCCAGGTATGTGCCTTTGACTGGGAATTGCACCAAAGACTCTTTGGTCCGCAGGCCGACACTCTCACCACTGAACAAAACTGGCCAGAGCTAGATTTTCTTCCTTTTTTTGTGCCCTTAATATTCCGGTATATATATAAAATCCCACATGTTAGGTGAAGACAATGTAAATAACCTGACTCCCTAAGACCTTCAGACAGTAACTTAGGTTCAAACAAATCTGTTTAGCTCACTACCATATATCCAGTGCCTGGTGCGTAGTAGTTCCTTAGTAAATATTGGTTAATGGAAATGATAGTGAGTATGAGAGCATCATGTAAGCTATATGCCCAGAAAAGTAAATATAGAAAAATTCAGAAGGAAAAGGGAGATTGTCCTAGAAAGTTGCTCTTGTCTGGTGATCCCACCGCCTGGGGTCCAGCCAGGATGGCACCTCAGGGACATCCAGGCATGTGTGAAGAGTGCATTCCTCACAGCCTTGGCTTGTCTTACTGTGACATCTGACACTGTCATAGATAACTCCCTAGATCATGTGGCTTTTAAACCTTTTAAATCTCTTTTACACTAAGCAGATTAATTTTCCCTTTCTCTTTTCATTTGAAAAGAGGTATTTATTTAGTGATACGATTGTGTTGTGACCTTGTTGTTTAAGAAGGATTTAGAAGAAACAAAGCTAAATGCAATGCCTACCAAATCTGTGCATTGTTGCCTATATAGTAACTACAAAAAAACTCTTAATTGGTTCATTGTGCCATATAAAATTAAATGGTAAAATATATTTTAGTCTAGCTAGTAAGTATAGAATTCCGTAATTCTCGATTTTTATGTGTCTGCTTCAAAATACCTCTATAGTACTATCAAAAGTATTATTGAACTTTATTTCTAAAATAGATAGGGATATTTAAGTTATTTTTAAAAGTTTATAGTGAAGCCCTTTAAAAAAAAATTAAGGCAGGTTTTCTCAGCCTTAGCACTATTAACATTGGGATTGTATAATTATTTGTTGTGGGGGCTGCCCTTGTATATAGGATGTTTAGCAGCATCCCTGGCTTTTACCCTAGTTGTGACAACCAAAAAAATGTTTTCAGACATTGCCAGTGTCCCCTGGGCACGAAGTCACCCCTGGTTTTAACAATGAGCTAGGGAGGAGCGCAGCGCAGTTTGCCGTGTTTTTGGTTAAACCATTGTTCGCTCACTGGTTGGACAAGCGTGTGCGGAGGACACTGTGCTGCAGGCACTGGTCCTGGTGCCGCTGGCAGTCCACCCCCTGCTCGTGGTGCCTCCGCTGCTGCTGTCGTCCCAGAGCTGGCACAGGGGCTGGCTGACCTCCAGAGCCCGCACAGCCTAAGTGACAACTGTCCATTCCTCCGAGCGCTTTGGGCATCACATCCACTGAAATGAGGGAGAACAGCCTCTCAGTGAAGCAGGACTGAGATCGTGGTGATGCTGTGGTCAAGGGAAAGGGTGACTTTAGATGGCCTGGGTCAGTTCTATGCATGACGTTCTATTCCCGGAGGGGGCCGAGAGAGGGACCATTGCATCTTCGTTTCCTGTTAAAAAGACCCAGTGAATCTAGAAGAAGTCAATAGCGACTGAGGGACTTCCCTGATACTAAGTATTCAGCAGAAGTAGAGTCAGACCAGACCACCTGCAGGGACCTTCCGAAGTCCTACCAGAGCAGCGTGCCTCTTCCAGAGATTTGGGAGAAAGGGCGCACATCCCTGCGTGCATGCCCACGGCCATAGCCCAGATTTCTGAACTTCCACAGTTTTCTCTTCTTCTACAGACTCTCTCTCTCTCTCTCTCTCTCTCTCTCTCTCTCTCTCTCTCTCTCTGTCTCCCCCTTTCCCTCCCCCCCCCACCTCACCCACCCACCCACATACCTACACACACATGCACTGTACTGGATATATATATTGGAGGTCTTTGATGGTTTCGTCATGCAAACCAAAAGGAAGTAAACATTTTCTGCCTTCCTATTCCAGGGTAGAAAGTTCACAGTTCTTGGTGATTTGAGGTGATTTGCTCCTTGTGTTTGTTTCTGTTCACGTGGTGAACATGCAAACTGGGCAGGGAAAGATTTTCTTTAGGTTGATGGTAATGCCTCCCCTGTTCTGTGCTTGTTCCTCAATCCAGCAACTCTTTACCGCTTCACGCTTTACCTGCAGTTGCGTAGGCTTTGTCATCTCACAAGGTGAGTGTTTCTGGGAAAGGCTGAGTATTGAAACATGGGCTACAGAAGATGGATGTGTCTTAAAATACCTCTTGTGGAATTGAGCAGCAGGAAGGTAGGAGTGGGGAGTGGGAGAGCTTGTAATGTTACCAGCCACACTAGGTATTTAATCAAGTCAAAGCTCTCACTCTCCACTCCATTTGTTACCAACTCCAGCTCTTCTGAGTACCACGACTATCTCTGTGCAAAGGCACCTAATAGAGGCAGCCGAGGGGCTGCAGACCACAGAGTAAGGGACGCTGCAGGGACAGAGAGATAGGCATTCTCTGAGGATTACTAGCTAGCTGGGGCTGGTGGAAGGTCCCAGGTATTGTCAGGGGACATTACCTCCAGCTGCTTTTGCGTCCTGAATTGCCGACAATATGGCACTGATGGCTATGACCTGGGAGATTGCTACAGAGAAGAGATTTTTTTTAACACAAGAAAAATATAGTTATTATGTAAAGACTATTGCTGAAAGTATTCAACTTTCAACATGGAGTCAATAGTATGATTCTGCTCATATTGTTTTTCAAGAATTAAATACTTCCCTGTGCTGTGCCTACGACCTAACAGCCACAGGATTAGTGTATCTTTCTTTAATGCTGACCCAGCCAGTCATACCCTAATGGCTCACACCTTGGAGCTCCAGAGGATCTTAGAAAAATGAAAAAGAAAAAAGAATTTTCCTACTGAAAAGGGTAGAAGACACCTTGGTTTTAGAGAATAATTTAAAATAAAGAACACATCAGTCTATGAGTTGTACCCTGGCTGGTTTGGCTCAGCAGTTAGAGCGTCAACCTACAGACCAAAGAGTCCTGGGTTCAATTCCCAGGCAAGGGCACATACCTCAGTTGCAGTTTCAATCCCTGTCCCCAGACAGGGTTATGCAGGAGGCAACCAATCGATGTGTCTCTTTCACATTGATATTTCGGCTCTCTCTCTCTCTCTCTCTCTCCCCCCCCCCCCCTCCATCTTGATCTGGGGAAAAAAAAATCTAAGAGTTACATTGTATATCAGATGGGTGTTGTGTGGGATGAAAAGGTCTGAATAACCAAACCACCTGATGTGTTCACTCACTGTCCGTCCATGGGGCCCGTCTGCCAGCACTGCGGAAGCCCTCCTGTGCACGCTGCTCTGGCTGCTGTGGAAGACACAAGTTTTACACGCAGTGACATACACCTTTCATTTTGTATCGTCCTGTTGGAGAGAAAAGTGACAGAGAAAAATAAAAAATTAAACAACAATGTGAAAATTCCAAACACGTTTGGCAAATAGAGTCTCACCCCAGAAGACGGAATCCAAAGCTGAGCCCAAGCCCAGGTGTTTCTGAGGCTCAGCAAAGCACAGGGTTTGTGAACCACCAGAAATGACAGGTGGTGTGAATGGGAAATGTGAGGAGGAATCAAACTGTGGCCGAGAGCAGGGGCAGTAAAGGAAGGCAGCAGGAGAAAGAATGTCCTCAGAGAAACATGTTTCTCCATGTTCTACATCTAGAGTTCAGCTCCCACCTCCTCTTCATTAAGAAACTTTCACGTTCATAATGCAGAGTCACACAAGACAAAAACTTTCCGTCTAGAGCCCATGTAGAGATGGAGGTCACCCATGATTTTTTCCAAACACATGACTTCAACAGCAAGAAAATTATTGTCTATCAATGTGTTTATTGAACTTAGAGACTACAGAAAGCCTGTTTGTTGGAGGGCCGGGAGCATGGGCACACGTTGGAGCGTGTGATTGCAATCTCTGTGCACAGAAAGAACCTCGTTTTGTCATGTTTCCTCTGAGGCTGCCAGGATGGTAAGGAAGGTGGATTTAAACCACACATGATGTTGTGAACACAGATGTCCACGTTTTAAAAAACACTCCTCATACAAACAAACAAAAAATAAATCCAGCTTTCAGTTAAAGTGAAAACGCCAAGAGACAAAAGATTATCAGAAGAATAACCAACCAAATAATAAGCAAAAAGAATTTTCTTAAATGAATAGAGTTGCTTATCCTGGAATGTTGGGGTAGGAAGAAAGAAAAAGACAAAGATATAGTGCCTTTAAGTATATAAAAGTTTTGCATACTCTGGCCTGTCCTTCCCATGTAGAGAAAATGGGGTTTATTGAAGGGAGAAAAAATTCAGCCACAGGAAAAGAAAAATAAACGTTGAAAAAAAAATTGAAACAAAATCATCACAATCTAACCTGTTGGATCGGCTTCCAGAAACCCAATATTGGATCATAGATAGTGAAGTGCTGATAAATGTTTAGTAAACTGCTCTCTGGGAGGAAAAAAAGCTCAACATGTAGCATTTGCCGATTCCCATGGTGTAAATATTGCTCCCGTGGCTGACTTCAGGCTGCCAACGTGACATGGCTGAGTGTGGAGCTGGGAAGAGATGCACTGTAGCTCACATCACACAGTCTTTCCCCTTGCAGTACAATAGACAGAAATAACTCCTGGACAATAGATAATAGTACAATGCAGTAAAAGAATTAGTGAGTACTGAGTTTTCAGTGTATATTACCTTTAAAAATATAATTGACCGAAGTTATATATATGTCACTTACATTTTAATAATGACTCTATTTAGTGACTGGAACTCACAACTCCTGAAACTGGAACAATCTCTCAAGAGCCGTCTGAGCCAGCTACAGGCCACCACTGGTGGATCTAATCACTGTCTCAAGTTAAACGGAGAAGGACAGAAGCTTAAATTCTCACAATGTCTTTTCTTGACTTTACTCTTAAATATGTTTATTTGACTTTAATCAACAGTTAATATGAGACCCAATTAAACAAAAAAGACTTTTGCTGAAAAGTTCTGTCATAAACAGTGTATGACTCTAGGTCTGTGGCTCTTAATTAGGGGGATTTTGTGCTCTAAAGGGACATTGGCAATAATTAGAGACATTTTTGGTTGTCACAACTGGTGGAGGGAGGGGTGTCACTGGCACCTAGTGAGCAGAGGCCAGGGATGCCGCTCACATCCTACGTCACACAAGACAGCCCCCCAGCCAACCTGAAGTCTTCATGGTGTCCAGACTGAGAGACAGTGCTCTGGGTCGTCTGTGTAAGATGAGATGTGATCAGTTTCTTTACAGCTTATTTCCAGTCTTTCCCCTAAAATATTTCCCTCTATAGCAGGAGTGGTTTAGCTCACCGTGTTTCCCCTTTGCTCTTCACTAGCGGCAACTATATAAATCCTCGTGCTTGCTTACTCCTTTTTAGGGCTCTGATTTTCTGTTTTTTATTTTAACTTTACCAAGTCTTTTATTAATAAGACAAATTCTCTTTAAAAATAAAAAGGATGAATGGTTAGATGGATGAAGAGTTGGATGGATGTCTGGGTGGGTGATGAATAGGTGATGGATGGATGATAGATGGATGTCTCGATGAGTGATGGATGTCTGGGTGAAGGTGGGTAGGTGATAGATGGTTGGATGGATGATGGGTGGATGGATGGATGGATGGATGGATGGAGGGACAGATGGATGGGGAAAAAGTAAAAGAAAAGGAAGAAAGAAGGAGGAACTTTTGCTTTGGAAATGAAAAACACTGAAGACAATTGGGGGGCTGCCAGTAAAAGCTTTATAAGAAATATATTTAAGTAAATATTTTTAATTTCAGAGAAAAAATGATCCCTATTCTCTTGCATCCCTGGTGTCCTTTGAAGTTAAGAAGATGCCTTATAAAGACCAGCCAGCAAGACTCCCAGAGGGGAACATAGCAGTGAGTATCTTAGAAATATACAGGCACAAACAATTTCATTGAAATAATTGCTTTTTAAATTGCTCTTCTAGCTTGTGCTCGGTTTAAGTGCTTATTACATTGAGTTGAGAACAGTTTCCTCTTCAGATCACTATTTTCTTATTTCAGCCTAGAAATTACTTAGTGTCATTTGATGAAATTTTAATCTTTAAACATAAATTTCTATCCCCCACCCCAAAAGAATCACAGGGCAGGACTAATATCACTTTCAATTAAGCCATTCTGTTTCAGAGAAGTCCAGACAGCAGTGATCATTGTAATGAAATTGTACTAATTGTTTCATTATAACATGACTGAGTGGAGAGGGCCCAGCCTCTTCCTTGGGGGCAGTTGCCAGACACCAGCTGCATGCCATTGGACATAATCGTTCTTTTCTATGTAAAGGACCATAATTCTTACCTGGGGGTAAAAAGTATACTATGAACTTCATTCGAATGAAATTTTATTTTTAAAAATTGAGGCTGTAAAACATTACTGACCCCCAAATGTGTCACAGCCCCACCACTGACATCCTCAACGCCCTGACAAGGCCTGCAGAGCAGAGGGGAGAATGGGTGAGGGCTGAGCAGACACGGTCACCAGCACTCTGCCTCCACAGTGGGAGGGATCACAGGGTTTCAGGAGACACACTAAGATTTAAGCCTTCCTCTCTTGGTCATCCACTGACATTCACACCCCCACATCCTTGTACTCAGAGTACCGTTTACAAACCAACAGCCCCAACATCACCCGGGAAATTGTTAGAAATTCAGAAGCAGGTCTCACTGCAGGTGCATTTCATCAAAAGCATCAGGGTATCGTGTTCACAGTAAAATTTGAGAAGCACTGCTTTGGATGGTATATAAGTTGATACTACCACAATGTCTTAATCAGCGAAGGTCTTCAAGTGCGATTGTAATGTTTAATCTTTCTAACCTAACTACTTTTAGTAATTTAAATTAAGTTAATCCAGTGATTCTCAACCCTAAGTATTCAAAAGAATCATCACTCATGCAACGTAAGGGTATATACCTGCTAAGTCTTTACCTCGGTTATCAGGGTAGGTGCGTCCTAAGCGGGGCTTGGACACGGTGCGTTGGAAGAGCACAAGTGACAGTTCTGCAGTGACAGTAGGATCCACAACCTCTAGCACAGGCAGGCGCGCAGAGGAAAACGCAGTTTCAAAGTAGGTTTCCTGGGCCTTGTCCCGGATCCACCCACTCTAATTAGAAAGCCTTCAGGGAGCCCCTCTACCTTGCTGAGGCTGTACCCATATTCACCTGAAAGAATTGTTGAGACAATTGATAAATTATATAAAGCTCTAAGCATAGTACCTAGAACAAGGTAGGTCTCAAGTCTCAATAATAGAAACACTCCCAATATTGGAAATGTTAATAGATTTGCAAAGTCAAACTATTCCATTTATCTTCAGACAGAGTGAGAGGAGAAGAGAGAGGGAGGAAGGGGGGGGGGAGAGAGAGAGACAGACATCTATGTGAGACACATCGATTGGCTGCCTCCCACATAACCCCAACCGGGGCCAGAGACCGACCGGAATTGAACCTGCAACTCTTGGGCCCAGCAGCCTACACTCCAGCCACTGAGTCAAACTGGCCAGGGCAACTTAACTTTGGTGACAGTTTAAAGCAAGCACTGGCACATCTTTCTTTGTTTAGTTCACCTGTCTTTCATGAGATGTCTGTTATATAGTCTGGATTTATGTTCAACTTAGAAAATAGAGGCTTTGGGTTTTTACTATAGAATGTTCATCCAGAGAGGTTCAAAGGCTTGTAGCCCCAAGGGAGATAAATCTGGGCCCTTTTGTTGTCTCTGAGCACATGTTCATTAACAGAAACATATGTTACAGTCGATTCCATCAAGTGTTGCGTCTTTCTGTGCTGGCCACAGGTGACAGCCTGCTGTTCTCAACTCATCTCAGAAGATCCACAAAATGATCAGATACATGCTTCCTTCCCCCACCCCCACCACCCTATTACTGCATTTTATTTTATTGTTTTTCCTTTATTTATTTTAGAGAGAGAGGAGGGGAGAGGGAGAGAGAGAGACAGAAACATTGATGAGAGAGAACATCGACTCGCTGCCTCCTGCATGTCCCCCACTGGGGATCAGGCCCACAATGTGGGCATGTGTCCTGACCGGGAAACAAACCGGCGACCTCTTGGTGCATGGGTTGATGCTCAACCACTGAGCCACACAGGCCGGACTATCACTGCATTTTAAAAGCCAGTCTGTCACCTGAGGTAGATGATTTGCCACAACATTCAGGTAAAGGTACCAGCAGGTCTTGGAGTAACACTGTTTTTGTTTTTTTTTATCCTCATTCGAGGACATTTTTCCATTTTTTGTACAGACAGAGTGGGAGGGAGAGAGAGGAAGAGAGAGAGAGAAACATCGATGTGAAAGGGACACATCGAGTGGCCGCCACCCGCACGACCAACCAGGGCCGGGGACAAACTGCAACCGAGGTACACGCCCCCAGCGGGAACCGAACTCGGGTCTCTCCGGACCGCAGGTGGACGCTCTAACCGCTGAGCCAAACCGGTCAGGGCGGAGTAACACTGTTTTGTTCAACCCATACTTTAGTTACAACGATAATGAGATACCTAGGAACTTAACTCTTATTTATGTCGATTAGCCCGTGGTGAAATTGGTTTCATTATATGTCAATTTACTTAAACTCTTAGAATCTGTCCATGATGTTAAGTGAGCACTCAACTCTACTGGAAAAACATTCAGACATTTTTTATAGTGAGTTCTCAAAAGTCTTGTCATTCTTACCTTGAAAAGAGCCCCGAGGGAGAGAATTACTTTAAGGTGGTAGAAGTCATTACAATCGGTAGCTTGGCCCTGGCTGGTTTGGCTTAGCAGTTGGAGCGTCAGCACGCGGCCCGGAGAAACCCGGGTTCGGTTCCCTCTAAGGGCACATGCCTTGGTTGCAGTTTGTCCCCAGCCCCCATTGGGGTTGTGCGGGAGGCAGCCACTCTATGTGTCCCTTTCACATCAATAAAAAAAAAATACAATCGGTAGCTTGAAAATCATCAGAGCTCCAATCTCTACTCTGCTGCGGGGGAGGAAGTCTCGCGGTTCCTTCTGCATTGAGACTAGAGACTATTCGGTGGTTCTCCTAGCCCTTCTGTGGGATGACTAGTTTGTTTATACTCCCTTTCAGCATGGTCATAATTCAAGCATTTTTTGAGGCCTATATAAACTTTACAAAGTGAAGAAATGGCAGCCCCCTCTGCTGCTTGACTGGTGTCTGTGGTGGTAAAAATCAGCTTCCCATGTGACAGGACACTTGTCATGTTCGGAGGTGAAGGGACAATTGCGTGAAGTAGAGGGACAGGACTGAGCACTGGGTCATTACAGCACAGCAGAAAAACTTTCCTCAGTTATCTGAACACTTTTTTTTTACTTACCAATTAAGTTTGACATTTGTGTTTCATGTGACTAAAGCCAAATTCCAAAGGTGGCTGTTATAAAATATGTCATGAAAATCTTTATTTAAAAATGCATTCATAAACTGTGAATATATTTGATTTCCAGAACTGTTAGCGAAGCTTCTCAGAGTGGAATTCTTCTATGAAACAACTGTTTGGAGTTCGAACTTAGGATAGTGATGACTTACCTCACAGGGGCTATGTCAGTGTTGTTAAAATGTGTGTTCAGCTGGTCCTCCTTATGTTAAAATGGCTCTATAGGTAGGGTGTCTTGCTACATTTATTTAAAACATCCTTGTGACCCCACTGAAGTATGTTTACACAAGATTTTATGATACATAAATACAGATGTCAACATTAATTACAGCTGCAAATACAAGGGAGCTTTTCCCTTCTATCTTGGTATTTTTGTCAAAATATACAAAAATACATAATAAATGCCAATGAGAAAATGTAGGTATATTAAAAATTTATTTATTGTCTTTCAACCATAACAAAGAACAAGATTTACGACATGATGAAGGTAAGATTAAATGTTCCCTTCTTAGTATTACTTTAAGAAAATCTAAACAACTTACAATTTATGGATCCCACTTCCTAAAATTGCAGGTAATTATAAGTGAATTATTAAAACTTGATTCTGTTTCCTTAAACAGCTATAGGTTCTTGATACATAAAAGTGAACTAAAATGGTTTGTTGATTAGCTGGCATGCAATGTAATTTTTCTCCTTAAATTTTAAGTACTTCAGCTACTCAGCATTACCCTTTTCTTAAAGCAATTAAAATCACCATCACAGCGCGTGTCCTTAAGGTAAACCTTTAGTCCTAAGTACATCTCAGCTTCTGCCGTGGAACCACTTCTTGGTGAAAGCATCTTGGACTTGGGTCAAGTTAATCCCAGCTTGTGTGAGGTTGTGCAGGGTGTTCAGAGCTGTGCAGTCCCGCGTGGAAGCTACCAGCCACACATGGATACCGAGTACCTGAGACGTGGCTAGCGTGGCTGAAGACCTGAATGTGTGGTTTTAGTTCATTTTTACTCATTTAAATGTAAACTTAAAACTGCAGCCGTATAAAATATTTTTCCATTAAACACAGCTTTATGCCCTGGCCCATGTTGCTCAGTGGTTTGGCTGCATACCAAAGGGTCACAGGTTTGATTCCCGTCAAGGGCATGTACCAGAGTTGCAGGTTCGATCCCGGGCCCAGTCTGGGCACATGCGGGAGGCAACCAATTGATGTGTGTCTCTCACATGGATATTTCTCTCTCTCTCTCTCTTCCCCACATCCTTCCCTCCCTTCCACTCTCTCTAAAAATCAATGGAAAAAAATACCTTCAGGTGAGGATTAACAACAAAAATAAACACAGCTTTATTGTTTTGGTAAGACTATATTTCACTTAAACTATTATTAAAAATTTAGTAATTGCTATGTGATGCAACTATTAAATATACACTGGATTGTGGAGAGTTAGTAAAAACAAAAAAGAAATATAAAATATGAATATTTTTGTATTAATTACAAGTTGAAATGATAACAGTTTTGAAGTTTAGGGTTAAATAAAATGTATATTAAAATTAATCTCCCATCTTTCTTTTTTCAAATGTGGCTACTAGAAAATTTTTAATTTTAAAGTTTTAAATTAGACTTGCGTTATATTTCTGGTGGACAGCAGTGATCTACAGCAGGGTTATAGAAGGTTCCAGCTTAGAGTGGATGAGAACATGGGGAGTTTAATAAATCTTACTTGAAATGAATAAAAAAATTCTTCCTGTAAATCAGTGATTATCATTAAAAACTTTAAAAATTAAGACCCAATTTCCTCATTCTTTATTATCCAGTGGATGATGTAAGCTTCCTGTGGTTTTGTCAAAAGGAGCTACAAGAAAAACACAAATATTAGAAATAACAAATTTTTGGTATTTTCCCAACATTTATTTCTTTACCAAGCTTTCCCAAAATCCTTCTATAATTTTCACATTACTAATACAAATTTAAATAAATTTTGGTCTTATGAGTCTACCAGTTAAGTCTTTTCCTTTTTAGCTTGCCTTGCAGTTCAAGTTTCTGGTTTGTATGTTTGTTTGTTTATTTTTAATCTTCATCCAAGGATATTTTTACATTTATCTTCAGATAGAGCTGGAGGGAGAGAAGGAGAAAGAAAGCAAAAGAGAGAGAAACATTGATGTAAGAGAGACACTTCAGTCAGTTGTCACCCACACAACCCCAACCAGGGCCAGGACAACCTGCAACCAAGGTATGTGCCCTTGGCCAGAATCGAACCCGGGACTCTTTGCTTTGCAGGCCAGCGCTCTACCTACCGCTGAGCCGTAAGGGCCAGGGGAAGTTTCTGGTTTATTGATACAGAACATTGAGCTTCAGGGAAAGCTTTGCTGCTCCACCTATTTCCCCTGCAGGTAAAATGCCCCCATTTCATTGTCGCAGGAGTCCCGAATCAGTGTGTTCTCAGAAAGACAGCTCCTTCCAAGACACGTGACTCTCTCAATAATGGGCCACGTTGGACTCTCCCCCACCTCTTCCCAGCAGCGCTCCTCTGCACCAGGACTCTGGAGTAACACCCTGGGGCGGTGGTGTTGGTTTTGTGTGTTTTCACTCTCTGTAGTGTAGTGGAGTCTTGACTATGCAGCGAAAAGCCTGGATAAGGTTAGAACAGTGGGGGCCAAGGACGGTCTCTGAAGCGGCAGCCATTTAGACTCAGAAGATGGGGCAGCCCAGCGCCATGGGATGTCACAAAGGCAGCAGCGAGGGGAGCAGGATGTAAGTGTGGGAGGACAGTCACTCCAAGGTCACCTATTTTAAAAATTCTTTATGTCCTTTCCTCTTAGTTAATTACATATAATGACATGTAGAACATATATACAGCATGTGTACTCCTAACATTTAAAGTGATCAGAGAAAAAGTATGAAATTTTTTAAAGGAACATCATGTTTCTGGAAGCAGACTGATAATAGTTTGGGGAGGAGAATTTCAGAATTTGGAACTGAAGAGGACAGTGATGGTCATCTGCTCTTGGACTTTTTAAGATGCTGTTGTCAGAATCTTTAGAAGTGAATGCAAACAAAAAACCAGTAGATTTTGTAATTACACCTGTAAAGCTGTTTTCTGCTTCAAGAAACCTTACTCAGCATATCCTGTTCAATTTAATTTTTGTTGTTATTGTTAATCCTCACCTGAGGATATTTTTTCATTGATTTTAGAGTGGGAGGGAGAGAGAGAGAGAAACATCGATGTGTGAGAGAGAGACCTATTGGTTGCCTCCTGTGCAACCCCGACCAGGGCTGGGGATCAAACCTGCAACCCAGGTACATGCCCTTAACCAAGATTTGAACTGTCGACCCTCTGGTCCACAGGCTGACACTCTGACTGCTGAGCCAAGCCAGCCAGGGCAATTTAATGTTTTATTCTTACTTTCCCATTACTTCTGAAAAAACCCCCAAACCTTCAGATATCATTATTAGTTCTTTCTAAGTGACCTCCCCTGTTCCTTTCTATAGATAGACTAAATTTATTTATTTTTTATCCTCACCCGAGGACATTTTTCCATTTTTTGTTCAGGTAGAGTGGGAGGGAGAAAGAGGAACAGAGTGAGAGAGAGAAACATCGATGTGAAAGGAACACATTGAGTGGCTGCCACCCGCACAACCGACCAGGGCCGGGGACAAACTGCAACCGAGGTACGCGCCCTTAGCGGGAACTGAACCCGGGTCTCTCTGGATCGCAGGCCGACGCTTTAACCGCTGAGCCAAACTAGCCTGGGCGGGATGTATTATCTTTAAATTTAGTCTATCTAGCATCGGCCTGCGGTCCAGAGAGACCCGGGTTCAGTTCCCGCTAAGGGCGCGTACCTCGGTTGCAGTTTGTCCCTGGCCCTTGTCGGTTGTGCAGGTGGCAGCCACTCAATGTGTTCCTTTCACATCGATGTTTCTCTCTCTCTCTCCCTCCCTCCCTCCCTTCCTTTCTACCTGGACAAAAAAATGGAAAAAATGTCCTTGGGTGAGGATAAAAAAAAAGATAATACATCCCAACCTGCAATAACCAGATGGCCAAGAAACCCAGCAAAGTATTCGGTGGCTAGTCTCTTATCCATCTATTTTTATTAAACTAAAAATCTGAACAGTCTATGGCCTTTATTTCAACTCCTTTAGCTTTTTTCGTTTTTGTTTTTTTTTAACTTACACATCTAGAACTATTTTCCCATGTTTAATTTGAAACACTGGGAGGTGACTTACGATATTAATTAGGTGAATCGGGATGGAAATTGAGAAGCATCACTGCCCGTCTCAACTGCGCGCCACCTACTAGCAAGCTGAGGCGACCTCCAACACGTGCACAACATACAGACTGAAACCGTATTTCCTTTGTGGACTTAGAGCTTATAGAGAAAAACAACATAAGAAACCTCAGAATTTTACATGGCTCCAGATTTTCTCTCTCCTGGAGCCATGTACCTGGGCTGTGAGTTGACGAACACTACCATCCCTTTCAGTTCCAAAATTCTGAAATTCTTATTGCCAAAGTGGTGTCAGTCTACTCCCCGTAGCATTAGGGTCACTTAAAATACCACTCCATGCTCTCTCTCCACGCAGCTCACCATGTTGGGACTGTACGCTGATTTCATGTATCATCAGATGGAAATCATAAGGGAGCAGAATATAAAAAGAATTGATTAAGAAGTGATCTGTTTCCTGACTTGCTCATGCAGGATGCACGAAAGGATGGTTTTAAAATAAATTACTTAAGCTGCAGAATCCGGGTGGCCTTGTGCCTGCTTTGAGCCCCCGTCATGCATTTCTTCAGTGCGTGTACCATGTGCCCTGCGTCCTTCCACTGTGCCAAGGGTAATGCCTTTGTGGTCACAGAATGTTTGCTTCCGACTGGTGTGCTGGTGAAGTCGGGGCGATGCTGGCAAGGAGAGCTGCCAGTCAGAGGGGCAAAGGGTAACCGTGAGGAGGTTACGGCCAACTTCTCTCGCTCTGAGAGCACGGATCCGGCCCTCGGCACTGTTGTCCATGTGGAGTGACTAGCAGTCTCACTACTGTCGATTCTGCTGTTTGGTCTAAATATAAATGATATTTGCGTTTGGAGAACCCAATGAATTAAGTCATCAGTATGTCTGCTGCATAGAGGAAGTGGGCCAAGATGAAAGGAGCAATAAAACCCTGACAAGCCGAGGAGAGCATAGACAGGATGCTCAGATCTAGTTAAGAAGGCAGAAGCAAAGAAGCGAGCAGGGTCGGGGCCCAGCCCCAGAGTGCAGGCTCTGAAGACATCTGTATGTTTCCAGCCTTCATGAAATCATCCTCTCCCGACCGGAGGGTCAGAGAAGTGTGGCCTCAAGTTCTTGAGTGTGCGTCAGGAGTGGACTCATGATCCTTCCAACCAGCTCAGTTACAGTGCGAATCACTTCCACCAGTCTAGCTGGGGCAATGCTTATTCTCTCTCTAACCAGATAGGCCTGCCTTGGTGAAGAATATTTTGGATCCAAGAGTATATTTATTTCTCTTATGCTTGACAAAAGCTGTTAGCAGAGTGGTTGGTTTTGTAGGGGCGTCTGCAGTTTGTTAGCTCTCTGGCTCTCCAGAGGCACAGGCCCCCAGCAGATAAGCTGTAGGAGAGCTTCTCTCCCATGTTGGAGGGCAGGAGCGGTTCACAGACACCGAGCTGCAGTCCTGCTGGGAAAGTCTCATTCACCTGCACGCTTTCTTGCAACGGTGGGGCATGAAATGAGTTCCAATAGCATCTGAACAATGGATTTAGGATTGAAGGCAGCTCCAAAGCATCAGGACATCTGGCGTTCACTTCAGTTACTGTATTTGCTCCCATACAGTGCAATCCCCCGTGGGCCCTCCTTCGCGGACGGAGCACAGAACCTCGCGACAAAGAGCACTGACGCCGGTCAGTTATGTGAATCAGCCTCCGGGACTCGTTTTCTCCGTCTGTAAAATTGGGTGGGAGAATGAGGTGATTTCTAACCTTCCTGCGCCTCCTGCAATCTGTGGTGTTCACAAGCTCAGCTCTCAATTAGATTAGCTCAGTTTGGTGGAGAAACATGAGTCAACAGACTTGGCCGTTTGTAGGGTCTACTTTTAGCCACTGGTGTAAAAGGTCCAGCCCAATTTATGGTCATTCCTTTCCACCTCGTTGGTTCCTGATCCACCTCAATTCTGTTTTAGGGTTTCTGTGCTCTTATAAGCCAAACATCTATAGTATGTCTGTAATTAGACTCTCACCCAACCTGGGACGCATGAAAATGTGTGAGTTTTTAAGATCCGTGTTCAAGCACCATAACCCCTTCAGTCTCTCCTCAGACGATTTCAATTATTATATGGATCCTTTTAGAACTACCCCCAATATTATATTGGCAAGTGCTGCTTTATTTCACCAAAGAGTTTTCAAATTAGAGCTCACTTGCTTTATTTTTCATTTCAGATTAAGACATCAGTTATTTGGGCAACCCCAAATGTTTCCTTCTCCATCCCGTTGTGGGTGATAATACTAGCAATACTTCTTGGATTATTGGTTCTGGCTATTTTGACCTTGGCTTTATGGAAGGTAAGTTTTTTTTACATTCTTTTCCTTTTTAAGTAGAGAGGCCACGGAAGGGATTTAGAAGGATATATCTAGGATTATAAAAAGACAATGCTAGAGGTGCAATTTGGGGGTTTTAACAGACTACAAACCAGAAAAGAAACATTATAGCTTGTTTGCTTTGGCAAACACATTTCTGTAGCTGACATTTAAAAAGGCTGGGGTGTTTAATGTTGCTTTTCTCTTGAGATTTCTTATAAATAAATAGAGAGAGAATTAGACTTTATTAGCTAAGACCTGTGATCTTCTTTCCAATATGCTTGGAGTGTTAATATTGTTGTGAGGACTTCTTTTTCTTGTTTAACCAAGATCTTAAGCTTTTTATTGAAACAGACCTATCAGCAATCCTTTGAGATTTTTCTTTACAAGCACTACACAGATGCAATTAGTACAGTAATTAATTGGTACTTGGACTATCCAGTAGGGCAAATAGATCATGCATGTTATAATATTCTTGGATTTGTTTTTCTTTTTAATCTTGCCAATTAGTTTGTCTCCATTAGGAAGCCTTCACTTACTGTTTCATGTGTCATACTGAAGTTTGTTCTAAAAACCTACAATAGAAATTAATTTCTGGCCCCCAAATGAACATGACTGCCAAGTGTCACAGAACTTTCCATTCCAAACCAGAAACACTGTCAGGGTCACATGACTGTCAGAATAATTAATCCAGTCACATCTTACTTATCCACCATTGTTGTGTCTGTCCAAAAATCATAGTATGTTTTTATTTTAAAACAACATGCAGCAAGCTTAATAGACCTATAAGCAGAGAAAACCTTGCCTTTTAAGTTAAATGTTGGCGTTCCTGGTCATTGTCAGCTGCTCTGTGCCATCCTAAGCCCACAGAGTCTCACACACCTTTAGAACTAGACCTGTGTGTTACTCTGTTGTTTATGGTAACTGTATTTCCATAATATAGTTACATGTGGCAGTTGATAGAACATTGTGCCTACAAGAGAAAGGCGACTTGATAGTTGTAAGCAAAACCAAAGAATTGGGCTTCTCATGACAAAACAATACATAAAAGTTGAGGTTCCGGGTTTCTAGGAAAAGATATATTCTTCTAGACCAAATACTAATTTGAAATTCAGGGGGATGAACATTCTAGAATCACCTCTTCCCTGAGCTCCTGGTTAATCTTTGCAAAGTCCCTAAAATGTTCTGGGGTTGAAATAAATGACCAATGAAATTCCCTCTGTACGCTCTCTGCTCCACCGAGTGCAGCGGGACACCCAAGCATCCCTCACTTCCACCGGGAGTCCGCCCTGAAGCCTGCATTGTATTTCAGGAGAGCATTTCTCTCCCCTCGTCAGCTGGTCATGCTGCTGCTGCTGGAGCCAGAAAGTGTGCGGAAAAGTAGAGAGGAAGTCCCTGGGCCAGGCCACGGTGCCCCCAGGAGAAGATACCAGGCCCAGAGTGGTTTGTGTAAAGCAGGGACACTCTCCCACGATCAGGACAGGCAGGAGGAAGAACAGGACACCCCGCCAGCGCAGGGAGTTCCTCTGCAGGGAAGGCTGACTCTGCTTCCGCCTCCGAATCTGGAGGAGCAGGGAGCTGACCTCCACAGAGCTCTGAGTTCCTTAGAAAACACACAAAGTGAAAATCCTTAGCACGAGGGGTTTCACAAATTCCCCAAATGACTTGATTTTATAGCCCATTTTCCTTCTCCATAGTGCGGATTCTTTGACAGATCGAGACCCCCCCAAGACGATATGAATGACAGGGAACAGCTGACAAGTGAGAAAACCCCCGGTGCGTGAAGAGGCAAAACCAAAGACCCCGAAACCCCACACTGGTCCTGTTCAAAGACAAGAAGACACATGAGGGTGAAACAAGGTTTTCCTGGACCTGCCGATGTCCTAGGAAGTGCAGGGGACCGGGGAACTGTCGCCTCATCTCCACCACCCTCTGGAGACATTGCCATGGAGCCCAGCGAGCCTTGTGGGAAGGAAATACTCTCAACACTGTAGAACCAGTCAGCGTCATGGCAGATGTCTTTGGCTTGGGTCAGTCTTTATTTGGCAGACACTTTGAAATGGGGATGGGAACCGAGGCTGCCTTCCGGGTAAATCCAACTAAGGCCGCAAAGACAAAACATCTGAATTACGATAGAGTTTAGAAGGTGAACTAGGACCAAACCCTCCAACACTACTGTATCCAGCGGAATATTTGACACCTCCCTATGGAAAAGATATTTCTAATGATGTTACGGCTCAGGGAGACAAGTATATGTTGTTGCTGGTACTGTAAAGTACCTTTGAAATGACAAAAATAATCTTGTAAGCAAGGATAACTATTTATGTTCCATTTCTCTAGGCTGATATTCTGGTCATCTAGAGGATCTGGAAATTAAGATTTGGTTAGCTGGTTTTCTAAATCACTCACTAAATTTCTTCCTAACATAACCATTTTGTGCAGATCACTTAACAGAGCTTCTTCAGCGTTGAGGAAAAGCAAATTGTATTAGAAGATAATTTCACTTCATACTTTGCTGCCTTCCGCCTGAAATTACTTGTATTCACACTTTCCAGGAACTCACATCTGCTTAATGTAGCTTTGCATAAAGTTGCGTTTATAGTTCCTTTTATTAAAAAAATAATATTCGTTCCAATTCTTTAATTAGCAATACACAAATTTCAAGGTACTCTCAACCCTGTGTGGTGTTTAAAAGTTATGGTAAAATCTCTAGAGTCTGTTAATAAAAAGGCAGTTTAACAATATGGGTAAACATTTTTAATATCTGTAAGGAGTAACACCAATATTTAACTTCAGATTAAATACCTATTTACTATACCTCAAACTTATTATGTACACAGAGAAGATGTGTTAAACATAAATAGGAAGGAAATGCAAAGTTATGCAGATGTAGATGAACCTAGAAAACGGATTCCCAAGGATTTTATTTAGGACTGTTTATTCTAATTTACTGCTCATTTTTACTGGTAATCTTTATAGTACATGACTTTGGAAAATTATCTTATAAAAGCTGTTTTCCCATCGTCATGAATTTAGCCATCACAAAAACTTGATGTTTAAAACTTGTAAATAAGCCATAATCATGTGTAATATTAACATTTTTGGAGTAAAATTGACCAGCCAAATTCATATAGTCTGCACAACTTTGTATCCTTTTTATAATAATGAAAAGTTACTATGAAGAAATGCTGAACAAATTTTTATATTTATGTGCAATATTTTATAGACCTATGTATCTAAAGCATGTTTACACTGGCATTAGTTATTTTTAAGTTAATATCCTGAATATTAAGTATGATAGAACAAGCAGACCCAAATCCTTACGTTTACAAAGCCATTGGAAAAATGTGTATCCCGGTTTCAATAACCACACTTTATTTGAAAGAAGAGCCGAACTCACAGACACTAACTTTTCTGTCGTGCTTTAACCTGGAGACAAGCCATCTGGCTATAGCTGCAGAATTTCTTTGGAGAGCAAATGAAAGGCACATGGAAGAATATTCTGATGCAGTTCATATTCTTCCTGCTTGTGAATAAAATCCTGTCATGGTAGCAGTTTCGATCTGTCAGGAATGAAGTCTGGCTCCCAGTGTATGTGGCTGACTGTGGGTGAGAACCGCACGCACCCTGACCCATTTGAGGGTCCCACCCCAGCCTCTGGTCTTAGGTGTTAGTTGTCTGGCTGGAATTGGTTTTACAGGGAGGTGGCCATCTATAGGATCAGAGGGATCTCAGATGGGACTCTCTGGCCCCAAATAGTGCCCTAACTCTTGTCTCCTTTTGAACCAATAGAAATGAGCACGTCTGGGTTTTTGGTCATAAGAGATATCTAAGAACACACACCCATTGCCTTTTAAGATAACATTGGTGAAGGGACGCAGAACTCTTTAGGGCTAGATAAATGTGGGACCCTGTGAGACCACTCACACAGACACCTGGGGAAGCCAGAGGGCTGGGACCCAGAACAGAGCAAGGTGTGAGGCTTCCAAGGCAAACTCTGCCTTCCCCACAGTCTCAGCCAAGAGTGGTCCTGCCTAAAGGGATGAGCACTGCTCCCTACAGGCGTTTCACAGAGGCCACCACGCACACAGTGGCCCTCTGAGCCACTTAGAATGTGGAAGCAAAGGGAGGAAGGGGACACTGAGGTCAGGTGACCCTTCCTGCTATCAGTTCCTGGGCATCCCCTTTACACACAGGACCCTCTAACCACGCTGAGTGCGTCTGCTTCTCGTCATGGGATTACCGATAGCTTTCGTAACTCAGTGTCCTGCTTTTCTTAGAATCTCTCTGTGTGTCAGATATGTTACAACTCTTGCAGCTGGTCTTTAAGACTTGGAAAATGGTAAAATCAAGTTTTACAAACTTGGAGATTTTTATGCATATAAATACACAACATGGACTAGTCACTGAAACCCTATTTCAACTCAACTCTTTTTTTTTTCCCTGTTCTATTTAAATACACGTGTAGATATCTGAGAAGATTTTCATGTAACTGTTCACCTTGTCACTAATAAAATAAAAACTGAAAGACACAATGATGTACTTGTGGTTTGTTTTACAAGCAAAGAAAAGCTTTCCCACAGTGGCAGAAATCAAACTTTCTGTCTTTACACCTTGATTCCTTATAAAAATAACCTGGGAAGAAATTTAAAAGAGCAAAAATGCATCACTTGTTTAGGATGATGAAAATTTTCTCAAATTCAATTGTGGTAATGTTTGCACAACTCTGAAAATAATACCAGAAAGCACTGAACTATATGGTTTCAATAGGTGAGTTTTATGGTATGTGAATTAAATTTCAATAAAAGTGTTTAAAAATTTGTTAGGTCATTTCTAACACATCCTCCTCCCCCACCCCACCCCAACTTATATCATTGATTTCTCTTCTCTACATTGCCTTTCAGATTTGGACTGTATATAAATATTTTATGAAGCCTTTCCTGGCATCTTTGGCCAACTCAAAGGCTCTTTCTATCCGTCAGTGACATTTTGTGAATGACCACACTTTTCCATTTGTTTTCATGACTGTGTTCCAGCTGAACTGTCCCTCAATGAGAACAGGAGCCATATCTTTTCTCCTACACTTAGCACCAACATCTGGTATATGGTCAGTGCGCAAAACCACCTCTAAGATGAATGAATGAATGAATGAATGAATGCACGAACATATGTGCACAGTAATTTTCATGGGGAACATAAATGTTTGCAATTTGCTCCCAGTTCAAGCCTCAGGGTACACGCACTTTTACATTCTTCTATTTGTAGTGTTCATACAATGTTGTTACAGTTACCTAATATTCTACTCAATGTGAGGACCAGCCTTTGTTTAATCATCCCCTCTTATGGAGAATAGATATTCACAGATTTATATACTGAGAATAACTTTAAGTGGAATACTTTCATTCATAAGGCTTCTTTTCATTCATTTCAATGAACAAACTTTGCAAGGGTGAGAGTGTTTGGTCAAAGTGTATAAAGATTTTTGTAGTTCTGTATCACATTGTTTCTTGAGAATGCTAGATCAATTTTCATTAACCTAAATATACCATTTCCTTTATAATTCTGTCAGTGTTTAAAAATATTTTGGTACTTATTTTTAAATATTACTTTTTCAAATTTATATTTCACTAGGATTCAGTATATTTAATATACACATTTAATTTTGAATTCTAATATTTATTAATCATTCAATACAGACCAATTTATTGGTCACATTCCATAGGATGTTAAATACTTTCCCCTTTTCTGGCCAGCATTCTGCGTCCCAGCGAGGTGAGCCCAGTGTCTGCGTGTTCTCCCTCTGGCCAGAAGCAAGCCCACTCAAAGGTTCCTCCTGGCCTTCAACGCCATTTTGGTCCAGGATGTCTGTGTATCCAAATGAAAAAAAATGCAACCAAATAGAAGATTCAGTATTGTTGGTGCTGAAGCTCAAAGCACCATCGCAGTACAAACTAGTCTGCGGGGCAGGACTCCCCCAGGCACGTGGAAGGATCTCACTGGGCCAGCCCCCTGGTCACAGCCCACGCGTGCTCAGAGTGAGGCCACAAAGGCTGCTCATTCTTTTCCCGCAGCGAAGTGCTTGGTAGTTGAACGCGTGCGGTGAGACTGCAGTCTTCTCAACAGAATGTGTTGAATCTTTTCTTATTTCCAGCCATTTGGGATGGACACACTTGACTGTGTCAGTACTTTGTACACACTGAGTTGGGATCTGGGTGCCTAGAGTGGCAGACGAGATCAGGATCGGTCCTTGCAGACTTCTGGGACCAAGTAGGATTGATTCTCTTGCAAGTCGCAGACTTCCTCTGAGAAATCTGCACCATACTCACAGCTACCTCTGCAGCACCAGCATCCTGGCAGCCCCGTGAAGAGCCACCGCACGAAAGCGGGTTTTTTGTTTTGTTTTGTATGTGCCCCTTGTAGGAACCGAACCCGGGATTCTCTGGTCCGCAGGCCGATGCTCCAACCGCTGAGCCAAACCGGTCAGGGCCACAAAAGCGTTTTATTGATATCCATGAATATTACTACAGTTCTTTCCCTGGGGTCTGAAGTTCTTTCCGCAAGATCTATACAGAGGCTTTTTCTCCTTCGGAACTCTGATTACATTAAAAGGTTAATGTCTTTAGCACGTGCAGTTTAAAGCATTAAAGCTTTGGTCTCACTTGAGAGCTGAGTCAAACCATCGCCCCCAGGGGTGCTTCAGCCCGCGGTGAGTTCGGAGTGGCCAGCGTGCATCGGGCAGGACGCCGCTTCCCGTGTGCGACCCGCCACACCCGCCCCCAGAATACCATCTGCCTGACACACTGCCTTTGGAATGGTTTGTGAGCAAAGTCTCTGTTATTTATGATTGTTGGCCAAAATCCACATGGAAATGTAGCCTGATGCTAGCGTCCCTTAACAACAAAGTCTTCAGTTTAACTTCTATCGCACCATGCTATGACACAGAAGGAATGTCCTTAACTGTCCATGCTTGTTGTTCATTTTGCTTGTGTACTGTGTTGTAGAAACAGCCAAGTGATCACCTTTAGGTGGGATTTGTTGTTGAGCAATAAAGTGGATCTCCCTGGTTTTAAAATTTTAAATTTCAACTTTCATTCACTTAATTGACTGTAGGGTACCAGTATATTTAACCATTTTTATTTCCATAAGAATTTTCAATTTTTAAAAACTTTGTATTTTGCCCTGGCCGATTTTGCTCAGTGGTTAGAGCATTGGCCTGCGAACCAAAGAGTCTTGGGTTTGATTCCGCCAAGGGCATGTACCTCAGTTGTTGTTTGTCCCCAGCCCCAGTTGAGGTTGGACGGGTGGCAACCAATCGATGTGCCCCTCTCATGTCAATGTTTTCTCTCTCTCTCTCTCTCTCTCTCTCTCTCTCTCTCTCTCTCTCTCCCTCTCCCTCCCTCCCATTTTATCTGAAGATAAATGGGAAAATATCCTCGAGTAAGGATTTAAAAAAAACTCCATATTTCTCTTCTATCTTAGCTCCCTAGGTCAGGAAGTACCACAAATTGGGTGGCATAGAACAACAGAAATTTATTGCCACAT